AGGAGAGAGGGAGAGACGGACCGGGGCAGGAGTGGGAGGGAGGGAGGGCGTCATAGGATACAGTATACAAGGGGAGGGCGGAGGAGCGTGGAGGCGGTGACAGGTGGACACACGCGCACTCACGCGGGCGCACTGTGTCGACTGTCGTCCCGAGCCCGGGAGACATTGACCGTGTGTGCGCGCGTGGGCCTCTTTTGCGCCACTCGCTCGCACGCCCGCTCGCCCCCCAGCGGCCACTAACATCGGAGGGTGGGAGGGGATGCGCGCGCGCGCGCGCGCGCGTGCCGCCCCCTGTCCGACTTTCTCTCTTTGTCTCCGGCGGCGAGGCGCAAAAAGACGATCGGGCCTGTGGATGGGGGAAGCGCAAGGGGCCCTGTGCCGAGGCGTCATTCAAAAGCAAGGTGGAGGGGAGGGGGACAAAGAGAGGGGTAGAGGGAAGCGCGACAGCCGTCGAATCTATGGAGGGGAGGCCGAAGTTCCTCCCTTAGAGGGGGGGGAGGGGGGAACGAGGAGAAGGAATGACGGAAGGGGCGGGAGAAGGGGGGGGGGGGGGCGGTCTGTACACAGTTCGGGATCAATCCCAAGGGGTTAGCCTTTTCTCGCCGCCATCCGCCGAAAGACACCAAGCGCAGGCAGGGAGCCCGATCGAAGAGGAGAAGGGGGGAGAGGGAGCGCGCACCCTTGCCCCACACGCACACGCAGACACATCCACGCACATAGCCCTCCTGCCATGCGCCCCCTCGCGTTGACAACGCAGGAACATGGGGAGGAGGGAAATGAATGCGGATCCACATGGCGGCGTGTGAGCATGGGCGAATGGCCAGGCCACCACCTAGTCAACCTCGGGCTCGACAGCCATCGAGAGGAGGCCGCCGCCGTCATCGCAGTCGTCGTAGCCCACATCATCGCTGTCGTCATCGGCCTCCACACCGGGGGCCGCCTTGCTGACTGGCGACGAGGAGGCCGAGGAAATGGCCGACGCATAGGGGGTCAGCGAAGGAGAGCTCGGGCTGGAGCTGTCCCCGGTGGCGGCAGGGGGCTGGGCCCCGGGCCCCGGGACATCGGACACCGGCTCGGCAGTGACCGTACCGGCAGGATCCGGCACTGGAGCCGGAGCCGGAGCCGGAGCCGGAGCCGGAGCCGAAGCCGCCGGCTGGATGACCCGAATGTTCGGCGAGGAGGAGGGCTTCGGCGCGGACGCCCCCTGAGCCGGTGGCGGCGGGGTGATCTCCACGACCGGACGTGCCTCGGCCGCCGGGGCCGGGGCCTTGCCCCGGGCGATGGCCGAGATCCGGACAATCTGCTCCCGCTGCCGGCGCAACTCATACCGGTATCGATCGATGTCGGACACGGGGATGGCAGCGGCCGCCGCCGCGGCCGCCGCGGCCGCCGCACTGGCATTGGATCCACCACCCCCGCCGGTGGTCTTCTTCGGGTACATGGTGTTATCGGCGCACACAAATGGACAGAGAAGGGACGACTGGGCGAGGTGCGCGCCGGCCGACACGGCCGCCTCCACCTCGCTGGTCGGCGCCGCCAAGTGCACCGTCGACACCGGGCCCGTGGTCATGGCCGTCCGGGCGGCCGCCATCAAGACTTCATCATCCGGGAAGAGAAGCGGATCCACGCCCGGCAGGGCAGGCGTGCGTTCCAACTCCCGGAGGATGTCCACGGTCCCGGTCCGAGACAGGGCATCCACCCGGTGCAGGCAAGTGGCCAATGCGGCGAAGGCAATCCGGAAGGCCCCATGCACCAGGGCAATGCAGGTGGCATTTCGACCACTGTCCACCCGCGGATGCAGCGGATTCTCCAAACTCAGGAGGAAGGGCCGGGCCGGATCCACGGACCAATCGGTGCGCGAGGACTTCAGGAAGAAGTCCCCCCCGAAGCGCACCGAAATGCCATAGTTGTTGTAATCGAAGTTCCAGCCAAAGAAGTGCAGGAACCCCAGCAAGGTACGCAGCAGGCTCTTCGGCGCCGGGGCCGGAGACGAATGGGGCGACAGCGAGCTCGGCGACAGGGGAACATCCGCCATCGACGGGCTACCGCCCTGCTGCTGACCGGAAGTGGAGGCCGTGGAGGGGGCGGCAGGGGCAGATTGCTGACCGCCAGCACCGGTGGCCGTGGCCGTGGCCGCGGCCGCGGCAGACTGCGCGGTAGACTCGGGCACCGCCTCGGGAGGTGGCGGCTCGGCGGCCGAGCCGTCGGGGGAGGCCGCCCGCTCCGGAGCCAGCCCCTCCGACGAGACAGACTGCCCAATGGCAACTGGCCCATCGGAGGGGGCCGGCTCGGACGCCGAGCCATCAGACAGGGAGGCCGACTCGGCGGCCAAGACATCAGAGCCAGACTCCGAAGCGGGGATAGGGGGGGACAAGGACGAAACGGGACCAGGCACCGGGCCCAGGGAGTTACCGCCAAAGGGGGCCTCGGTGTCCGAGGCTTCATCGGCAGAGGAGTGCTCCGGGCTGAAGTCCGATTCGGACGAGCAACCGGGGGTCGACTCAGGGGTGGCGAGCCAGTCCGGCGAACCGGCGGTCTCACCAGGCAAGGACATGGAGAAGGAGTTGATGAGCGTCGAGGTGGCAGTGCTGGTCGTGCCGGTGCCGGTGCCGGTGCCGGTGCCGGTGCCGGTCGAGCTGGTGTCGGCTGCCGCGCCGGTGGAAGGCCCTCCAGCGGGACCCACGGCAGCCGGGGGCGGCGAAGGGCCACTCGATGATGGGGCCGCCACGGCCACCGGGCTGCCAGCTGAGCTGGGCCCATTCCGCCCGGCACGGGCGGGGTGGCCACCGGCCGGGCCACCAACGCCACGACCAAGCCCCGGCGAGGAGCCGGCACTGGAAGACCCGCTCACCGAGCTGCCGGCCCCGGCCGCCGACCGTGATGCCGAATGACCGGCCCCGGGCCCGGGGCCGGCCGCACCTGCGGTCGACACCGACCGCAACTGGGCCGCATGAGCGTAACTCAGAATCCCGGGCGAAGGGCCGCCACCCGAGTGGGCCGAAATGTCGGGGGTGGCCCCCCCGGCACCGCTGACACGCCCGGCGACCGGCGATGAGCCGCGACTGGCACCGCGTGCGCCGCGCATCACCGCATCCCCCGCCGGAGGAGCGGCCGTGGCGACGGCCGCAGCACCTGCCCCACGCGTCCGGCCAGAGCCCCGGCGCGATTGCGACACACCCCCTGGCATGCCATCAGCCGCCAGACGGCCGGCGACGCCTCCGCGACCAAGAGCATCATCATCCGACGGAGCACCAGCCGCATCCGATGACGAGGCACCAAGAGTGCCCACGGCCGCGGCCGCGGCCGCCGCCGCCGCTGCGGCATCGGCCGTCGCCCGGCGGAAGGTCGAACGCATGGATCCGGCCGCCAGGTGGCTGCCACCACCCGCCGACGCGGAGCCCGGGGCCCCGGTCGTGACGGCGCCCGGCGACGCACTCGCCCCGGTGGCCGAGGGCGACGGGAAATCCCCGGCATTCGGGGCCGAAGCGCGTCGCCGCGACCCGGCACCAGGCCCCGGCGATCCGGCCTGATCAGCACCGGCAGCCACATGCTCCGGGTGGTGATTCGCCACTCCGGCCGCCGAGCGGTGCTCCTCCGGATGCTCGGCCGCCGGGTCGACCATCGGCGTGCCGGCGGCCGAGGACTTTCCTTCGGCAGCGGTGGCGGGGCTCGAAGCAGCCGCAGCCGCGGCCGCCGCCGCCGCCGCCGCCTCGGCACGTCGCTGGGCAGCTGTGCCACCACGGCCGCCGCCGCCGCCGCCGCCGCTGCCAGCCGAGCCGGCCCCTGTCACGCGGGGGCTGGCTTCCGGCGCCTCCGCTGTCAGCACTGGCTGCTGCTCATACGGGTTGCCATAGTGGGCATTTTTGGCCGAATACTGCAGGAAACTGACCACCATGCACAGGAGGACGAAGGACCCCATGCCGCCATAGTACGTGTCGTTGAGCGACCGCGCGGCCAGGATGTACTTCAGGATGACCATCAGTGGGCGGAGGATCGGGAACTCCGTCAATTGGGCCTCCGTGAACTGGGCACTCAGCTCGGCGTCGGCATAGTTGCTGCCAATGTCCACGGCCACACCGGATGGGCCATGGCGGAACTTGACAATCGGCACCGACGCTCCGTCCAGAAGGCGGACGTCCAGCGCCCAGTCCGTATGGCAAAGAGCAACTGATGCCGCGCAAGCGACACAGGAGGTGCACCGGAAGAACACGCGGTCAGAGAAAGAGCCATGCCAGGGGAGAGCGCGGTGTGTATGTGTGTGTGTGTGCGCGCGAAGGGAGAGAGAGGGGGAGAGAGAGAGAGAGAGGGAGAGAAAGAGAATGCGAGAGAGGGAGAAGGGAGGCCAGGAGTAAGAGCGCGCGCTCGGACGGATGGGCGTACGAAACAGCGTGCGGAGGTGATCCAGTGACGGGGGCTCCATGGACAAGTTCGAGGGGACCAGATGCCCGGCTTCGGTGTTGGGCGAGGCCGGCTCATCATCGGCCGAGGGGACGGGGTCTCCCTGCAGCGCAGCGGCAGCCGCAGCGGCCGAGGCAGTCCGGCTGGCCAACAATCCTCGCGACACCAGAACCAGATCGATGTCAGACTTCGGCAACAGAAGCCCGGTGCGTAAACTCCCTGCAAGGATGGCACAAGCACAAGAACGAGCCGACGGGAGGTGTTAGCGAGCATAAGGAAGTGGGAGCAGGAAAAGAAGGTGCCCCTCCCAATGGGGCGGGGGGGGGGGGGGCCGGCAGCGCCCAGACATACCGTAGAGGTCGATCGCAAAGTCCGGGAGGTGCTTATCCACCAGGTCCGAAACCAGACCCGAGATGTGCCTCCGGATGAAGACCTCATCCTCGCTCGGAGACAGGTAAATCACCAGCCGGTCCAGCAGCTGGTCCATCAGAGGAGCATGCTCATCAAGGAGCTTCCAAAAGTGCATCATCGACTCGTGCTGCTGCTGCTGCTGGGCCGTCATGTGCTGGTGTGAGGAAGCCTGTTGGTGGTGGTGTTGCTGCTGCTGCTGCTGCTGCTGCTGCTGCTGCTGCTGCTGCTGTTGTTGCTGCTGCTGCTGCTGCTGCTGCTGCTGCTGTTGGTGATGCGTGTGGCCATGGCCGCTCTGGGCCTGATTCTGAGGATGGTGCTGAGCCTGTGCAGTGCGCCCATGGGGGAAGGAGGGGGGGTGTGAGTGAGCGCACAGGCATCGGGGGAAGAAGGGAAGAAGCATAGCGAGGGAGGTCCCAAGGACCAAGACAAGGGCAGGGTGCGTGGCGTACCTGTGTGGTAGTCGAGGCACCACCAGTGTGATGATGGGACGGATATGAAGCTGGGGACGAGGAAGATGGGGGGGAGGACGAGGACGAGGACGAGGACGAGGACGAGGACGTGGAAGCGGACGCAGATGCGGACGCAGATGCGGACGCAGATGCAGATGCTGACGCAGCGGAGGACGCGGCGGAAGACGATGGGGAACCCACCGAAGTCGCGATCAGGGGCGAAGACGAGGATACCACCGCCGCGGGAGAGGGCGAGGACGAAGGCGCCTACGAGTTCAAGGGGCGACGGAGGAACGGAGGAAGGGGAGAGGGAGAGCAAAACAGGGTGAGGATGTGAAGCGAAACCAGTAGTGGCGAGGGAGGGAGGGCCATCTCAGGCCGAGCACAGCGGGCGAGTGGAGGGGGGGGCAGAGGAGATACGGACAGTGGGTGGGGCGTGATGCTGCGAATGCTGGTGGTGCGGGGCAGCCCGTGCCGAGACGAAGTTCGCCTGGGGGGGGAGGGGGGGGGGGGGCAAACAGGGACCAACAGGAACGGACGAGGGGAGGTCAGCTTAAGGAGCCCCGGATGCCAGGGGGAAAGGGGGGGGGGGGCGCAATCGGAACGGCGCAAAGGACGTACGGTCCGACTGGCCGAAGTGGTCTGTCCGGAGCCGGCGGATGCCTGGGCCGGATGGTGCGCCGGGACGGGGGCCGACCCGGACACGGAGGCCTGACTGGCCCGCGAAGAATGCAGCGTGGCCGAGCCGCGCTCGATCGGCAGGTTCGATGCCCCGGTCGAGTGGTGCGAGTGGTGCGAATGGTGCGCGTGGTGCGCGTGGTGCGAATGATGCGAATGGTGCCCATGGTGCGCGTGGTGCGAATGGTGCCCATGGTGCGAGGCGGAGTGGTGTGAGGCTGAAGCCGAGGCAGAGGCCCCGGCGCCGGTGGCCAAAGCACTGCCCGACACGATTGGACTGGCGGTGTCCGGCCCGAGCGAATGGGCGGAGACCCCATGCTGGATGGACCCGGACCGAGCCCGCGTCATGAGCTGCGGCGAGGGGGAGGCCGCCGTGGCCATGTCCCCGGCAAAGGAATCGGCGGCGTGGCGCGAGGAACGCATCGGAGCTGCGACAGGGCCCGACGGTGTGGAAGTGCCGCCGGTGGGGGCCACGGTGGACATGGTTGACACCAGGGCCGGGACCGAGGACGCCGAGGGACCACCGGCCGTTGGCAAACCCCCGCCGCCGCCGCCGCCGCCGCCGCCGCCCAGGAGCAGAGGCGACCCATCGTCAACGGATTCGGGCAGATGCCCGCGGGCGTCAGCCATGGTCGAGCGATTCCGCCGGTTTTTGGTTTTGCTCTTGGACTTGGGACGTGTGGTGGTGGTGGTGGTGGCTACACTGGAGGCAGCCAGGGGACCGACATCTGGGATGTCGCCAAGAGCGGCGGCACAGGGGACCGTGCCAGGCCCAGGGCGCGCCATAGGTGCAGATGCAGATGCGGCCGACAGGCGCGGCGTCTGCTTGCCTGTGGCCACCGGCGGATCGGTCAACGGGCTGGCGCCGGGGCCGGGGGCCGGGCCCGGGTCCGGTATGTTGGGCTTCGGGCTGAAGACTGGGGGATCGGCCATTGTGGCGGCCGACGTTGGAGGGGCCGGTGGCTGGGCCTCCAGCGGCGGGTGCAGCTGCGACGGTGGCTGCGACAGCGGCGGCTGCTGCTGCTGCTGGTTCGACTCCCCCTTCGGCAATGATCCGCCGCTGCCGGACGAGTGCGTAGACGTCATGGCCAGCCCAGACAGAGGAGGGGTGGGAGGAGTCTGGCAATGAAGAGGTGGAGGATGTGGATGTGTTCGAGGGGTGCGGAAAGAGAGGAGGGGAGGAGGAACAGGTGGGAGGGGTGCTGAAGGTTGGTGCCAGGAACCCGGGAACCGGGAAAGCAAGAGAGAGAAGGAAAGAGAGAGAGAGAGAGAGAGAGAGGGGGAGGGAGAGAAAGAGGAAAGAGGAGGGGGCCGTGTGACGGGCAAGCGCGCATACAGACGCAGAGAGACACACACACACACACCTTAACGGGGGGGGAGGGGGGGAGGGGGAGGCGGGAAAGCGGGAGAGTCAGGGCAGCTTTCTCCTCGAAGACGGGGGAGGTGGAAGAGGGAGAGCGCCTGCAGCTGCGAAGGGAGGGAAGGGAGGGGGAAGTGACTCGAGGTCGAGTCCCCGAGCGACTGGACAAAGCGAGAGATCGAACGGGAGGAGGGAGAGTGAGCGGCACAATCGGCGGGAAGTTGACCGTCCAGGAGGACCCGGAAGAGCCAGGTATGAGTCCATGTAAGGCGGAGGGCGGAGTGGGGGAGGGGCGGGGCGGGGCGGCAGGGGAGGAACTCGCGGGCACAATGAGAGCGGGCGGGGAAACCAGCCAGCCAGGGAGCATATCGAAAGCGAGGAGGCGGGGGGGGGGGGGCGGGACGGGCGAGCAAAGGAGACCAATGGGCAGGCGCACGTCCAGATGGAAAAAAAGAAGGCGGCAGAGGGAGCGCGACGGGGAGGGGAGGAGGGGGGCGAGGGGCAGGAGGCGCAAGAGCGAAGGAAGGAGAGGGAGAGAGTGTGGGCGGAAGAGAGGAGAGGCCCCCCTGGGTGTGAGGAGAGGAGTGGACAATTTCCTTGGGTGACGACTAGAGATCCCAGGATGGATGGCCAAATACACGGGGGCGGCCGGAAGATTCGGCCTAGCCCACCTGTGGGTCTGGCCCAGGCGCGTGGAAGACAGACTCTGCGTGTGTGTGTGCGTGTGTGCGAAGGAGAGAGGGAGAGCGAGAGAACCACAGCGAACAGCTGAGTGGCGGGGGAAAATGGGGAGCCAAGGGTGCGGGAAGCCGCTGGCCACACAAGGGGACAACATGCGCCTGACGCGGACATACACACACGCGCGCGCGCGCGCGCGCGAGCCTCTCCACAGTCACTTACACACATGGGCACATGCTAGGAAGAAATAGCCGGGCGAGTCGGGGCTCGGGGGGACGGGGGGGGAGGGATATCCCTCAGGACGGAACTTGGTCATGCGGAGGCGAGGCCACTTGCTGTGGGCAAAAATGGGCATTTTGCCGGCGCCGGCGCGGCCTCGGCAGCTGGGGGGGGAGGGGGGGACCGGGCCGGGCCGGGCCGGAACGGGCGCATGGCGGTGCGAGCATGCGGGGACTGGCCAGTGGCGCGCACCAAGGCGGGCTGGCACACGCCGGACGAGGGACAGAGACCGGCAGAGATCCCAGCCAAACACGGGCTGGAGCAGAGTATCCCCTCGATGCCCCACGCCCGGCCCCCGGTGGCGTTTCCGCACCCCAGTAAGACAGATCGTCGCCCAATGGGGCCAGAGGCCCGGGGCCGGGGAGAACTGGCGCGCACGGGACAGTCTTGGGGGCCGGAGGGGGGGGGGGGG